GTGCAGCAGCAGCGAGGAGGGCAGTACGTGAGAGCGTGTTCATACAGCTATGTTCAGCTGAGCTTTGCCTTGCGCTAAGTGCTGTGGCATTTTGTCAAGCAAACTCCAATGAGGAACCCACGCGGTATTTTGAGCAGAGAAGCAACTGGTGGAGACGGATGAGCTTAATTCCCAAACTAGTGTTGGAGAAGCAGTTGGAGGTTGTGAAGTTCCTACATGCAGAAACAAGTCATTGATATCCTAACAGCCTCCCAAACACCTAAACCAAAGAATAGAGGTAAACATTGGCTGAGAGTATATATGAAAGCATATCCTTGTTAAAAGCAGAATATAGGAAGAGACAAAAAAAGAGCAACCGACAGTGTCCTTGTGAATCCAGCTGCTGAAGAATGGGTTGATGGAAGGCTTGTGAACTGGGATCAAGGTCCCTTATGGCTTGAAGAAATCCTATTTCTCCCCAAGAGCCCATGAACCCCTGTTTTCCTGAGACACAGGGCTCCCTCATCTGGGTCTCCTTCTAATTGAAGTAACAGATGAGACTGAGTTCTCACACAACTCTCCATATCAAAGTGACAGTAATTTGGTTTTGTTGCAGGATCATTGATCTCCATGGCTATGCTGTGCCCACCTGCGAAGGGAAAGCCAGAAGGAACAGATCTCGCATAAAGGAAGAGACCTGCCTGTCAACTCCAATGTGTTAGATAGGCGAGCATGCTTGTGAGTAGGGTACAAAGAGCCTCTTTTCGACAAGAAGGAATAAAACTAGAATTAGAGGCCCTAAATTCAGCTTGAGAAGAGTCTAAAAATGGTTGCCCAGATATTGTACCATCCCGTTCCCTTTTTTGTTTAAATAACTAATGTCAAATAAATAACTGCACCTCCTTTGCTAGTATCAGTAAGCACAAAAATCTCCAAGCACAAATTCTACCCTGCTGAAAGTGTTCAGAAAAACAGCAGGATACTTTCTAAAAGCACGGAACCTGGGGTGAGAGAGAAGAATGGGTAGAGAACCGATACAAGCAGACAGCTGACATCAGCTCAGAAACAGAATGAATTCCCCTTTTCATTTGTTCCTGCATAGCAACTGAAACGGTCCCTCCTGAAGGAGAAATGACTACAGGTGAGAGAGAGGAAACATTTTGAGCAGCAACCACCAAAAGAACGAGGGGTAGGGTGTCAAAAGAGTGTGAAGGAATTTGAGGGAGAGATAGAGAAAGAAAAGAGAAAGGAGAAAATGGTAGGAAAGAATGCAAAAACATGCAGGAGAGAAGGGGAAGGCAGACAGGCGGTTTCCAGGGACCGTTTTGTTCTGCAGAAGCTGTCAACACATTTACAACGTGCTCTCCACCCCCCTCCTTATTTACTGGGCCATGCACACAAAGCAGCAGGAAAGCGATCATATAGGAGCTGACGAAGATTCACTTTGACATGGAACAGAGGTGTCCTAAGAGAAAGGAAACTGCCTAGAAACAGGCCTAGGGACTCTAGAGAGAGGATTGGAAAGAAAACCTGCAGAGGCCAACCTTTTCCTGCAGAGATCACAGTCGGGACTTAGAGGCAACACAGATACTGGAGGACAGTGAGTCAAACTGCATGGGGATACAGCTGCATATAAAAATATACGTACATGCAAGAAGCTTATCACTGAATTCTTTAAAAGATGAGCCCAAATGATTTAGGCAGAGATTAACGTTTTCAAAAGTATCTGTTGCAATTTGTACCTAAACCGAGTGCCTCAGGCTCGGGAGCTCAGCCACGTTACAGTGACTCAATATCCCATCACCTAAACTGTACTTGAACAGTCCATTCCATGTCACTTTTCTGGCAGGTACAAAAGCTTGCCTGATACATGTTCACTCATTAAGCTGCAGAATGGGATCAAGTCTGAGCCTACAAATTTCTAAATGCTCTCAAGGTTAAAATAGTATAAATAGTATTTAGAGCCTGTGTAAGGTACCTCCAGCTTTTTTGTAAGACCAACTGTTTGTTTCTATGATTGTGCAAGACTGTAGTGAGTCTGAAAATGGAAAAAAAACTTAAACATTATATAAAAAGGGCAAAGTTAATTTATTTTGTTACCAGTTACATGTTATTAGAAGAGTTCAGGAATACTCATACTGGTAGTTGCTAGAGCTGCAGTACAAACCTCAGAGGTTCAATTTTCTGAGTGGCTACAGCTGTACCACCTTCTAAATCCTTGGGTCCTGATTTATTCATGGCATTAGGAATGCAAAATGCAAGCAGAGGGAAGGAGGCCAATAAGAGAATGGAAAGCAGGAACACAGAGGAACCAGTTTCTTCATTCCAGCTGAAAACAGGTTGAAATTATTAACTCTTTCAGACCAAGGGCAACACAACCTGATGCATAAAACTGTGCAAATGAGTCTCTCCCCACAAAATAAAATCCTGATTAACAGAAACATAAAACAAACAGTTTCAGAAAAATAATTCAGATTAACTCTAGCCTGAAGCATTTGCAGTTTCAGATGTGTAATGCTCAGGCCAATGTGCTTGACAGGGGAGGGGTTAAATGACCAGTTCTGTGAACAGTGGACCAGATGTTCAGCTGGTGTAATTCAACATAGATCTATCAGAAATTAGCGGAGGTATGCCTGCTTACCCCAGACAGGATTCTGGCCCTGTACTTTGAAATCCTAATACCCACTCAGAGATTTTTCTACAAGCTGCCCTGACCTGTCTGTAATATTACAAATCCCCTAAATTGAAAGCATGAAGAAGCCTCCTAAGAAGGGAGGCCAGGCAGATAGTGGAGCAAGTAATCAACTTTTACTCTTGGGGAGACAGGACACGAACCAGCATTCCCCAAGATCAGCTTATACTAGAAATTTCAGCATCCTCTAGAAATTAAAAACACAGTCAAGAGAGCAGACTCAAGTGACATGAAAGCACGTACCTTCTTTCTAGTGAAAGGAAGGTTACAGGACTGACCTGAACTTAAATATTCTGGGGTGCTGGCTGACAACGTGAATGTGAACCTTAAATTAACTTCTCATCCTGCATTGTTCCTATCAAACAGTACAGAAAAAACAGTTGTTTCTGCTGCACTTTTATAGTGCATACATATGGCAGGCACCTTACAACAGGCAGGAAAAGGCACTAAAGGTAAATCACTAATTTGGCACCAGGAAATGCATGGGTCTTGACTATCTCCATTTCAGTCCTCAGAGCAGATGCTGTGGTCAGCCAAGTCTTTGAGCATATGCTTGTAATAGAAAATGGTCTACAGAATTGGCTATGGTGATTGAATGGTAAAGAGTGGGGAAGGACAGAGGGGGGAGAAAGTACAGCAGCACATTCCTCCCTAGAAGGACCCTTCTTCAATTCAAGTGGGATATTAATAAAGTCAGCTATTTAGAGAGAAAAAACAAGAAAAAATGTCCAGATGTGAAAGAAGACTAAACTACCAAGGTGTACAAAGAGGCATCTCAAGTGCCCAGTAATATTAGGCACCTCATTGCTGCATGGGAAGATTTTAAACAGCCAACAAAACTGACATTAAAGGAAAGTTATCTGCCTTGTTACTTTATTTCTACACCTCTAAGCATCCAGTCTGTGCACTTGAATGACAAAATCTTACACAATTAGTTTACAGATTTTTATAACAGGGTTTATAAAAGACTCATGATGCGGCAGCAACAGTCTTCCATAACATGATTCTGTGTTTTCTCATCCAAACACCAACCTCAAGGGAAAACTGATCTCAGGCACCAATAACTATACAAGATCCACTATTTCCTAAAGGATTCTGCTATCAGCCCCTTTAAATGCATTTACGTACTTCACACACACCCTTAAGAATTCTGCAAATCTCTCTCTTTCAAAGTCTTCAGTGAAAGATTTTATTATTCTCTGGAGAGAATACATATACACATATAAATATATGCACACATTAACCAGATAATCTTATTTGAGACGATGGTATGGTACTCAACCTAAAGCCAGTCTCATTTTGAGAGGATAAAGAAATCAAACACATCCTTAGTGGCTCTGGAGTCACTCTCAGGACTGATTCCTTTACTGGACCAAAGTACAGATTCACTATGCAAAATTCAGCATACTCTGACCCATCTTTCAAGTGGTTACAACTCAAATTTTAGTGACCCGAGTTCAGCTTCTCACAACTTCTACTCAGTGTTAAAAATGACATGACAGGAAAAGACACATTGTGTACCAGAGTTCCTTCAAAACGGCATGTTGGAAACATTTTACAGAAATATATATTATATATATGTACACATAATATACAACACGTACAGAGCTAAAAACACAAAAATGAAAGCTGCATTTGCACTTATCAATAGAAAATGGTGAGCTGGTGGCAACATTGTTCAAGTGCCCAAATCATCAATAAACCATCAACTGAGCACCAGATTATCCAGCTGCATTACAAGAACATTACAAGCAATGCTAGCAAAGTCTCTTTTGGAAGCTTCATAACAAAGATGAATTTCAGGAAAGTCAGTTTGGTCAGCCTGTTAAAAGCCAGTATATACATGGTACAACAGGGAATTGGAAACTTGTAGTGCTCCAATCCAGTACATATATGGTATCCCTGAAAGGCTGATTAAATTGTTTCTCATTACGTACTGTCAAGGCAGGCAAAGCAGGACAGGGACCAATGATACTTATAAATGAAGCAGCACTGCTTATTGCAGTTGTGAGATGGAACATGTTTGTTTCTCAATGAAAGCAGATACTCCAACAGAGAAAAATAAGGATGAAAAATGTGGATGATACCTAACATATGAGCTCAGCAGCAAAAAAAATTCAGCAGGGACAAAAGCAGGTTCAGTGTTAGTGAACCAAGCCAGCCTAAGCATTCCTTCCATGTCTTCACTTTCCTAAAACAGATGTCAGTACAAAAATGCAGACAAGGGTAATTGCTTTATTTCTTTCTTTCCTCTAAGGAAGAATTAGTGACAGTATTATATTCTGCTTTCCTGTTCCAGATTATGAAAAGGCTCCAGTGAGTCCCAGGGTCACTCTTGCACATTCCCTGCATTACTGTGCGAAGCCTCGGAAACACGATTGATGCTGCTTTCAATAAAGACTTTCAGGCCCTTTAAACCTTGCGCATAGAGATATTCCAGATACCAGTTCCACTTCAATTCCCTATAAAAACAGAAAGAATAGTCAGATGTGCAGGGTGTAGCTTTGTCGCTTTCTTAGGACAATCTGAAAAGGTCTGCAAATACCACCTTCCATCCTAGTCTGTAGCCAAGGGCTAACCCATCACAAGGGTCAGGTCCTGTTCCCAAATGCCCAAACTTTTCACTTATGTATTACACATTATTGGCTTGAACGTTACATATCACGATCTTTTTTTAATACTGAAGATGTTTATAAATCCCAGTTCTAAAATGAGCAAAGTCTATTGGATTAACAGTGAAGAACCAAATGAACATGGACATTAAAGCCTTCCTTCCATGACTAAAAGTGACTCCTCCAGATCAGGTTTGAAGTACACTGTGATCCACAGAAGGAAACAAACTGTCACTGTACTTGCTCAGTGACAAGTGGAGGATCCCTGTTCAAAGCTATCAAAAAGCTGCACATCCACCTCAGAAATTTAATATTAGGTTCATTGAGAATATAAATTCTGCTTCAAGTACACAAAAAATACAACTTTTTCTGGAGCCTGCAAAGAATAATAGCCTTGTCCTGATACGGCACTGACTCATGGAGGAAATACGTAAAAATCTCAGACCACTACCCACAAATGGCTAGATACATAACTTCTCAGATGTTGATGTCCTCGTGTTTGGCCCTGTTGAGAGACTGAACCAAAGTCTACAGCTGGAATTTTCCCCCTTTCAAAATTTTTATAGAGTATTTGTGGAATTGGTGAATATTATCACCTCATTCTCTTCTACACAGCTGCTGAAAATTGCCTGTTTTCACTTCACTAAAAAAAATAAATCTTACCTTAATTAAACTGAAGTTGAAAGTAGTATCATCTGGCCAAGCCTTAAGGAGAAGGAATAAAAACAGTACCAAGTCAGATAAAAAGTATGTCCAGAGTTTCTAGACCTCTGCTTAGTCCCCTCCTAAATCAGGAATTGCAGGTGTGCAAAGAAATTTTCAATCATTCTTCAGAATGGGCTTCCACCATCACACTGTGTCCACACATGGCAAGGTAAGGTGGAGACCCTCTTTGCCCTGTGCTGCTGCATTACTGGATAGCTATAGAAAATATTTATAGCTATCTTTAACCATTGTATTTCTACAGTGTAAAAGCTACTCCTCCAAAACACTAGAAAATTCCCAACAATGAGAAAAAGCAAGAGGAGAGGATCTGAGATTCAGATTATTGCTTGCATCCTCTGAGTGTGTTGCCTCTGGTGCTCTGAGCCCTCTGGTGCTCAGCAATGAAATGTTTAAGAAAAGATAGCACTACAGCTAAATATTATTTTCCTGTCTTAAGACACACCTATGATAGCTGCTAAACAAAATCTCTTACTTGGTTCTGCCATAGGAAGAATGCAAAAATTCTCCAAATTCTCCACCAGAAGGTTTTGGGTTGGGTTTTTTGTGTAGAGTTTGTTTTTTGTTTGTTTTTTTTTTTTTGGTTGATTGGCTGGGGTTTTTTTTTGGGGGGGGAGGGGGGGTGTTTTGTTTTGTTTTTTACTTACAAAAGCTACAAAGAAGAACCAGGAAGCCTCAGAACAGAAAGGATCTAGACAAAAGATATTAAAAACTAATCCTGCTACAACAGCAGAAAGACCACGGAAAAGAAGTTGTATAAGAAAAATAAACAGCCTCCTCCAGCAAAGACAAAACTTGGGCTTAATCAGAAGCAAGAGCCAAACTACCTAGATTCAAGACACTGAGTATATAAACGAAAGGAAATTTGTGAAGTGTTCCAAGACACTGAGTATATAAACGAAAGGAAATTTGTGAAGTGTTCCTAACCAGCATTCTTTGCTTCAACTTTAACCTCGGGTTTCCCTTGCTTCATTCTGGGAGACACACCTACACACAATGTCAGTCTGCCAGCATTCCTCACAACAAAAGGGCATATTTGTACAGCCCCTGGATAGCCTACAAAACCTGATTTCTCAGAGCAGCATGCACATCTTGGAACAATAACAACGCTGGCAAGCTGCTCCCTCCACTATTCAGCAGCTGCACTGAACACATGATGGCATGCAGAATGCAGAATTCAAGATGACTACTAGCACAACTCATATCAGACAATACAAAACCGCAACGTATTACCTTACTTTTGTACTCGAGGTAGCTACTTGTATTTTTTTTTTTAATAAGCCATTCTCAAAAGCTGCAAGAGCCAGAAAGCACTGATAAAAGCTCTGCTGTGTGCACCTATATACAATTTATGTATTTCTTGACTTTCTGGAGCTTAAATGTTTAGGTCATGCTCCACATTTTGTGGGGCAGAACGCACTATTGGGAAGCTTTTACTGATTTAGTAATTTGTTTTATTAGCTATTTTAGTTCTATCCTCAAAATGATCATAAACACAAATTCATATCAAACTGTTATATTCATGCTTTCATACCATGCAAACAAGACTATCCAAATTGTGCCACTGCTCTGACACAAACATGGAATTCCATACCAGCTTTTGAAAGCTCAGTTGACTCTACAAGTCAGCCAGTACACTGTGAGACACTTTTCTAGAGAAACTGTCAAGACAGAACACCTGGTACTGCCAAAGGACCAAATGTTGGCCTACACCATTACCTGCTGCAGGAAGAGGGCAGCATAGCCCATCATGGCTGGATGGTACACAATGTTAAAACTGGATTTGTATTCCTGCACTGTGGTTTTCTTCAGCAGTTCATCATCCATACGAAGACCTTGAGGGTGAATATCCTTCTGGAATACACTGGACGTCCACAGACAACCCACCATAGCTATTACATACTGGTTGTACTCTTGGTATGTCTTGTTACTGAACTTGAATTGCAAAATTTTCTGAGACAAGAAAACAAATCAAAAGTAGCATCCTCAAAGAAGTTGTGTGCTCCCTCCAGTCCTTAAAAGACTGCCATCAGAACACCTCCCTTCCATTCAACCCAACTCCTTGCTAAGGTCCATTCTAGCACATAGCAGATTTGCCCACTATACCTTTTTACTCAGCTCATTTTCTTTTGCAGCCACCAAGTTGGTTCGATACCTGAAAAAAAAGAAACACAAAAATATGAGAAAATTAGGTGCCTGTAAATTTATACTACCTAGCAGTGCTGAAAAAAAGCTGGAGCAATGTATTAAGGAAGCTTATTTCCTCCATGAGAGAGATCATCAAACTTCACTAGTAAAAAAGAGATACATGAAAAAGAATTTGAAGTAACTTTATCACTTGGCATAAACCCACCCTTTCCAGGCAGAATAGGGAGACACCTGATAATATTAATCTCTTAAATGATTAAGAGATGACTGGTTTGCCTGGGACAGTCATCTTCAAAAGGCAATACGCAAGAATTGACATACAGCCTTGTAATCAGCAGAAAAATGCAGCATATTTTTAAGACAGGAGACTTTCACTCACTAAGCAGAGAAACAGAAGCCACTGGAAATAATGCAACTTGACAGTTGTTCTATATAATAAGCACTAGCTCCTCTTATTTCCCAGAGACCATCCTGTCATGTTAATTACCCTGCAGACTCCTTAGAAAAAAAGCCACATGGAGAGCCCTGTGCCAGCTGTCAGCAATTGGCTACTCTTCTTCTCAGGCGCAACCACTGGAACTAACAAGGCCTAAACAGTGCTGTCTTTGAACCTGCAGGCAGCACAAGACAGTCCCAAATTCCCAGAGTTTGGAGGTGGCAGAAGTGCTTCCTACTCAGTACATTACAGAACTTGTAAGGAAAAGCTCATGTCTAGTGGTCAAAGCACAAGAGTGAGAAGTTGTATAGTTAACTACTAGTGATTCCAGCTGGCTGATTTACATTCTCTCAAAACAATATGGGAAGTCCTTCCTTCACATAAAAGTATAGAAATAATACTAGGAAACAGGTCAGTATCATGCTGTTTTGGATAACAGACTGGAAAAAAGTGAATAGGAACTATAGCTATAAAATACCGTATCATGAAAGCTGGGCACAATTGGAACTTTCACCTTTGCCTTGCATGGTAAGAAAAAGCAGATTTCAGATTTTACATCAAAGTAATTTAATTTCCAAAAGATTGAAAAAGAAGACGAGGAGTCCCTACAGCCCACACCATTTGTAATACCTGTACATAATGTAGCAGAGCTGATTCAAGCTGACAGGATCCATGCTGAGAAGTGCTGGATAGAAAACTCCAGCAGGAGGCATTATCAACAAAGGCAGATTGTATCTCAGATACATGTCGCACACCTGCAGGAATGAAGCAAATCCAGGCAGATTATTATCGCCATTAACAAACCCCAAGGCATCTAAGAACAAAAGAGAGCATAACACTGCACTCCAGACAGCTCCATCTATTTCACCTAGGAGGAAAGGCCAGGGTGAAGCAATTACATTTTTTTCCTTTCTCAGTATGACATATTCATCAGTTCATATCTCAGTCTTTGCTTCAACCATTAGGTATAACATATGTTTTGACATGATTACTTGCTGAATCATATCTACCCAGATCCCTGTAAAAACGTGGTAGCCATTTTTTTCTGATCTTTTAGAACATTCCGACATATAAAGGCCGAGGTTGCACTAGACCTGACCTTGCTCCTAGCCTGGTTTGCTGATACCAGCAAGTCAAACAGACCATACATCTCTTCCAGTTGGGAAATTAAATCTTTCTATTTGACCTTGCTAGAATTGCATGAACAGCCGATAAACCTTTGCTCTGAGAAAAACTTATGTGGCCATAAAACATGGCCTTATTATTAGATTCATGTTTAGAATGTAAGGTTGAGTTTCAAGGGAAAAAGACATTTTAAAATTCCCGCAGATTTAACACGATCTTCAGCTATAATGACAGTCTTAAAGTACAGATAAATAATTAAAAGCAATATTGCTTTAACTTAACACATTACTGTATTCCCTTAGCTTAGCCACAATAACTATTCCCAAAGATATGCTCTTCGGGAAGGTATGCATCATTCTCAGAAGAGTAGTAGTCTAAGAATATGCATATCTAGTTGCTACAGCTCCGACCAAAAACAATTGAGCTTGGATAGCCCTCCATACTGAAGATGGATATTTTTTACATTTTGTTAAATTAGGCACAACAATTGTTTTTGGACTCCTTCCCCTAATCTCATAACAGACGCTTCACCTTTCCTCTTGCCCTCAGTACAACTATACCATGTAAAGTATTGTCCTGGTTTCAGCTGGGGTAGAGTTAATTTTCTTCTTAGTAGCTAGAACAGTGCTGTGTTTTGGATTCAGTATGGGATTTGGTATGAAAAGAATGTTGATAATATACTGATGTGTTTCATTGTTACTATGAAACCACGGACTTTCCAGCTTCTCATGTTTTGCTAGTGTGCAGGTGCACAAGAACCTGCGAGGGAGCACAGTCACAGTAATGGATCCAAACGGCAAATGGTATATTCCATATAATTCAACATCATACTCAGTATATCATGAGGCTCTGCCTGGAAGCTCGGTCTCTTTTCTGGAATTGCAGTTTTGGGACATTCTCTGCTCTGGGATCATTAGCTGGGAACAGGCTGAGTCTTGGTCAGTGGGTGATGAGCAGCTGCACTGTTTATTACCCATTTGTATATTATTGTTATTATTATTTTTTAAATTTTATTTCAAGGATTAAGTTGTTCTTATCTCAACCCATGAGTATCCTTATCTTCAACCCTCCAGTTCTCTCTCCCATCCCCTTGGGGATCCCAGAACTATCATTGTTTTTTCAGCTCTTCACAACTTTATCCAAATTGTAGGAGCAACAATAGCATGGCTGGAGTTTGCATAGCAGTAAGCACATCTACAGAGAGGATGTGAGGAAGCTACAGAAAAGGCTTAAACCTATTTGATGCTGCCTAGTTTGTCCATAGGATATACTGGGGAAAAAAACTTCATTTTTTAAGAGAACATTTAAGGAAAAAAAATCAGGATGTGTTGCTTGAAAATGAACTGAACATTGTTCTTTTCTATAAATTAGCACTGAAAAGCACATTATGCTATATTGTTACTTCCTCTTTCACAGTTCACCTCTGACTTAACAACCACTTTCTAGCAGCATATTTAGTTCTGCCTATGGATGCAACAGCAGCAGCTATCATTTGCAGATCTACCAGTATTTGGAACATTCTTGCTTTTAATCACAAAGTTCTGTAAACTATAAGGAAGGTGTTTTCATGCTCTAGCTTAAAAAATGCTAACAGCCTTAGAGTATTAGGATTTTGAAAGCCAAAATGAATGGGATACATACAGTCTCATAGAAATCCAGGATGAAGTACAGCAAGAAAGTATTATTGTTTTCCAAATGCAATGCAACAGTAGAGATCCTTCCAACAAAATGGATCAGTTCAGCCACCGTGTTCACTAATCCAGAAAGGGTGGTATTCCTGCAGCAATTACATGATGCGACATCAGTATATACACCTCTTTGCAAATGGTAAAAGGAACAGCATTCAGCAACACACATTTGTTCTTCAATATACCCAGTAACATATTGTTACCAACATTACCCAGTTATCAGTGTTACAAGGATTTTGTCTTCTTGAACATTTCAATTTTCAGTGTCAATAGAAATACTTTTAAAGAAAAAGAAAGAACAGGCTTAACAAGGTAGCTTACAATATAGCAGAAACGTTACAGCATTAACCTTCTAGTCAGTCTTTATGCTATGTCATAGGGCTAGAATATATATCTAAAACACCCTAATGAACAATGCATAGAAATCTATTGCATTTATTTCAGACAAACATACAAAGAATGGACTTGAGAGTCAGACTCTGAATCCAGATGAATCAGGTGCCAATTTAACCAGTTCTGCAACAGCTCTTTCAGGCTCTCAAGAACACTGCACTGCCAAAGGCAAAAAGAAAACAGGTTGATGACAATTTACGTAAGTGAATAATACTAAACAAAAAATGCCATGGGAATTGACACATACAAGGAAAGATATCACAAGTTTCTCAGGATCACAAAGAGCATTGAGATAACTGCATGTCCCCTTGAACTGAAAGTATACATTACATAGCTTTCCCTGGAGAAAGCAATTTTCAAATACTGAGTGAAAATTGCAATAAAACCAACTATTGTCTTGTGTACTATCAGTTCTTTTTATTTCCAGTGACCCAGTTTAATTCCAGTCAAAAAATAAAGTCTTAAAGGCACTCAAATTCCCAATGAAGTTACGCTGTAAGTATATATTTTACCCTCATTTAAGCTCAGACTTCCCCAAAATAATCCCCCTCTACAATCCCTCAGACTGCTACACATGACACAAGTGCAGAGAGCAATATCAACTAGAAGTAAACAGCTACTGTACTCACTTAAATTACCTTAAAGTAAAGGGATGATGTGAAAAAGAGCTGTGCCAGGGGATCATAGAGTTGCGAGTTCATTTCTGAAACAAATGAGAAAGTAGCATGATATCTGTGCACAAATTCTGTCCCCCAAGATCATACCCTATCCAGCCTCACACAGAGGATCTGCAACACATACCAGAGAAGCTGCTGAGGGGGATCCAACTCACAAGTCTGAGGATTTGTGATTGGCAGCAGAAGCCATCCCAGAGAGGAAGGCTCTTATACAGGAACTCTTCACAGGAAGAAAATCCCTCCTACAGAGCAGAAGAACATTCAAGAACTTATCTCATATGCCTGCACCTTGCCATGTTCACTTCACCCTGGAGAACGAAAGAGTATTACACCTCCTTCCTGCCATACAATTCACCAGGACACTCAAATTATCACTCTCAATATCATTCTCAAATTATCTTTCCTGCAGAAAACAAGGCCATCTCCAGAATATTGATGTGCTATAGGAATATCTATTTTTATTAATTGAGACCCTGTCACTTCTCAGAGATACCGCAGGAAACAAGTAAGTCCCAAAAGTACTTTAAGGGAAGACTTTGTAAAACTCTTGGCTTCCACAAAACAGGCATTTACCTGCAAAAAACATTCTGTCTTGTAGATGGTTTCCAGGAAGTCCTTGAATTCTTCTTCATATTGGCTATTATCAGCCACACACCAGGTGCATTCTAAACAGGAGAGAATACTGTACTTGAATATGAGCACAGCAAGAATAAACATAATCAGAAACAAAATTCAATTCTCCTCCAGTAGTTGTTTTAACACTATGTGATTACCACTATAAATCTGAATAGCAAAGTACCATTATTGAAAGGTGAAAAGCCTCAGACATCGTTTACCTCCCTACCATGCAAGTTTATACCAAGTTCGTACCTTCCTGAAGAGTCTGTCCCATCCAATAGTAAAGCCTCAGGTAAATAGATTCATCTTTGATGCAATTCATGTAGTGAAGCAATAAAGGGTTTGTTAGTACTGAACCCATCTGGGAAGGAAACTGCAAAAGAAATCAAGAAAAAAGTTATTCAGTATTTACATCAACAAATTGCCAGAGAATCTCATTCTATCAGAGCTGTCCAATCCTTTTACCGGCAACAAGACCATATCCAGGACTGATCCATCACCCTCAGGTAGCATTAGATGCTCTGTCAGAACTAGGTAGCCCACACACTATTCACATATAAACAGTGCACAGAGTGCCTTTGATTTCTCAAAACTTTCAGTCAGCTTACCAAGACATTCCTGAAACTCACCTCTAGACGGTGGATATTTTGTAGAAGCCGAGAAAAAGTCTGCAGCTGCTCCACTGGAAAAGACTCATTCGTACTGTACAAATTAACACAGTTCTTTTCCCTATCCTTTTCAAAAATATTTTTGTTTGTACTGCTTGCAGGTATAATTAACTGGGCATTCCATTTCTGTAGAAAAGAAACACAAATGAAGTTTCCAATACAACCAAGTGCAGTTGGGACCAGCATTCCCATAAAGACCCTGTTTTGCAAAAAAGGTATCCAGGCTTTCATTATAATGGGAATGGTGCATTTCTGTACAGCTACTCCACCTTGTCCAGTGCTGAAATAAAGCCCAACTCCTGTTATTTGCCAATATTCATAATGACAACAGCTGCTTTCCAATATAACCAAGTGCAGTTGGGACCAGCACTCCCATAAAGACCCTGTTTTGCAAAAAAAAGGTATCCAGGCTTTCATTATAATGGGAATGGTGCATTTCTGTACAGCTACTCCACCTTGTCCAGTGCTGAAATAAAGCCCAACTCCTGTTATTTGCCAATATTCATAATGACAACAGCTGCTTGGCACCTTTAGGGTCTACCTTCAGCCCATAACCTACCCTTTTTCGTGACTGAGGTTGAGCTGTGCCCAAAAACAGGGGGCAGGACACTGGAAAGTTCTCCTGGTTTCTTTGCCTTACTGTGTTGATTGCTGCTTTCCATGGGCCCTCTGAATTCTTGAAGAAAGTCTGAAAACATAAATCACACATCTATGCAAGAAGCCCGACTAAGACAAAGTGACAGAAAGATCAGTTTCTATTATGATAAATGTCACCACAGTGATGTATATACACTCAACTCTACTTGGCAGACCAAGAGGCTAGGTTTTCACAGCACAGAACTCACGTCATTCCTCAGTTTCATTACCTTTTGACAATAGTTCAACAGTTATGCTTTTATTTCCTTCTGAAATTAAGTCCCCATTTTCAGAAGAGATCTCCAACACTTCTGATTTATAATCCTCATTCAGATCAATCATCAATTCATAGAGTAACTCCCAAGCATACATTCGAATAAAACATGAACATATGCTTATGCAAGTTGCTAAGAAAGCTTCCCAAATTCAGCCTCGGTGATATCCACCAAACAGAATAATTCAATGAGCAATTGAATTCTCAAATTAAAGCAGGTACTACAGTTAAAAATAAAACTGTAAAAATGAACCCAACACCCTTCCTACACATAACTTATTGTCACTTCAGTTGCAATCAGTCTTTAAATCCTAATGAAGTGCCAAACCATCACAGAAGTATTCAGATTGGTTTGGGCCTAGGTAATCAAGCTTTTATTATACAAGTTAACACAGCATGTTCACAAAAATAGTTGATGTATTTGGGTCTTAGTTGCTAGTTATTTACTCCACTTGTGTATGCAAAAAAATGTAAATGTCAGCAATTTGGACAATGTCTTATACAAATAAGACCATTTGTTTCCTGAAGAACTTAGCACGGTGTGAAACAAATCGAAACCAGCATGAACACCAAAAGGAGGATTAAAGTAATCCTCATAAGGATAAACGTAGATGCCATTCCATTCCAGATCATCTCACTGTGCTGAATAAGAAACAAAATGGAAGGCAAGGAATCCTCATCTAAACCTGATTTTACTCAGTGAAAAGAGGAAACAGAATTAAATGGAAAGCTCGGTACAAATGCTGTCTTAAATACTGCTTCCAAATCGATTAAATCTAATTCCTTACCTTCATTTTCCCAGGAAGGTTTATGGTCACCAGGTCAGGACGGAAGAGTTTGTAAAGCGATAGTAGAGCCTGCAGATGAGACTGCATTCCCTGTCAAATAGCAGAACAAGTGGAAAAACACATGGAGTAAGTTTTTAGTACAGAAATTGAATACTGTATTCTAGAAGAAAAAAAACACCAAGTGCTTAATAAAAACTTTCTAAAGCTACATGTCAGTAAATAACCATAGAGGAACTGAAAATGAAAGGAAGAACAGAAACTCTGTCAATGAAATATCATAGGAAGGGCATTGAAGAAGGAACTTTCTGTAGTCGTAACTCTAATAAAAAGGAATTTAACAATCAAAACTATGAAAAATAGTCTTCTGCTGTCTAAATGCTCCAAAAACACAGTTATTATAGCTAGCTTTTTCTTACAAAAAAGGGAGCAAGATCCTCTATAATCTTCCATTTCTCAGTCATTTTTGATACCACTTGAAAAAGGAAGATTAATAGAAAATTAAAGATGGCAATGGATAAATGAAGCTGCCCCTTGCTTCAGAGATTGTTCTGCACTTAGACATAAAATATATAGCTTTATGCATGTCATTGTATATGATCACAAAACGCAAATGAAAATTAGGGATGCACATGCAAGATAGACAAGCCCTGATACTACAAAGACTACAACCTACAGTTCCAAGTCTAACCCTGTGCTGAGACACTAGCCACTATCCCATAAGGACATTAGTCTTACAAACTGCATTAACCATAGTCAAAACTCTACAAGATTTGAAATAAACCCACCATTTTTGCTTGGAGGTCAAGCAGTCTCCTAATCCGAAAAGGCTTTACTGGAAATACAATTAAGAAAATAATGGATTTAAAAACAACTGCATCAGACATTTAAGTAAATGAAATATCACTTATTACAGAAAGTCATGGCAAAGCAAGCCCTGCATCAGACATTTAAGCAAATGCAATATCGCTTATTACAGAAAGTCATGGCAAAGCAAGCAGAAAAAAAAAAAATCAGTCTTCTAGGCTAACAGACAGGCTTCCAATTCAGAAAGCATTACACAAACCAAGCTGAACTACCACTTGTGTTCCCTTGCCTTAAAAACAATATATTGTCTAGTCATTGTATTAGCTCCACTGGAACAAAAGGCAGTGCCAGCAAACAGAATAAGAAACAAAATGGTATTCCATCTCATACAATTGCATAGACTTACCACTTTCTTTCCTGGTCAGCAAGTAGAGCAGATGGCAGGCATAGGGGCACTGCAAAGAAAAGGCAGCAATGAACTATCCTGCTGGTGCAGACTGCTAACCAGGATACACTAAAAGCAGCATACAGGCTTTACAAGCCACGTTCAGTTGGCTGCCTCAAGTCGCCATTGCGTCCCCACTGGGGCAGAGCATACCTTACTTCCCTTAGGAAGTACCATGTACACCTCCCATATGTCAATTTTATTTAGAAACTTTATCTGCATAATGAGCAGTCCTTACAGTAATCAAGCTATTCAGTGAGCTTGGATCTCAGTTTTTGGAATATGGTCTAGATATTTCAGGAGTCATCAGTGAAAGTACAATTACATTTTCAAAAAGGCACCTTTGAATCAAAACAATTTACTAGCGTTTCTAACTACAATTGAGGCTGTAAGGGTCTTAAATTAATTTCATACCACTCAGCTACACTTCCCAATTGGCCCATCATGCCTGAAAATGCTATTTTAAACAGCAGAATCTTAAATTCAGTTTTTAAGAAAATATTATTAACTCATGTTAACCTAACCATTAAAACCTTTGCAAGAGATATAACTCAGAACTTTAAAAGTCTTAACCACAAAGTATCCTAAACTGAAAGAATATTAACAATTTCATATCTAACATGACTGCCAAGATCATCTTAATATGAACTGAATCCAAACACTTCCCTAGCACCTGGATTTTACAGTTGTCATGTAGCAGAAATCTCCTGATTGCTTGTTCTCATTTAAGCTACATTTCAAATCAATTAAGTAGAACAGCATTTAGAGTTTCTCACCTTTAGATAAACATTGCTCTAAAAGGTTTTTGTCTTTTTGCCAAAGGTATGCAAGCCAGTTTCTTCCCAGGAGCGGGAAACTGCACCTGCTGATGTCAATCATCAGGTGGCATCATCATGATGGCAATCCCAGAGACCGCAGTGTCATAGTTACTCTTGGGAACTTAGACAGAATATACTGTCACTGTGTTCCTGATGCATAACAACAATTCTTGGAAACGTGTTTAAACAACCAGACCACAGCACTGAAGCTAAAATAATCCTACAGTACTTCCCTGTTTCTGAATGTACATTATCCAGCAATCTTGGAATGCAAAATGAAAAAAAATAAATTCCAGTCATCCGATTGGTCTTCAACCAACAGCTACTCAAGACTAATTCTGGCATTAACAGGCATACTACTAATGAACATTTAGGTTTATTTTGTCAATTCAATATATATTCTTCATCTCCTTACCATCTTCTCATCTTGCAGGAAGGAAAAGAAGAAACCATAGAGGGCATGAAGTTTTTCCTTGTGATCAATGAAGTCAAACACTGTGATCAGCCATCTTAAAAAAAGCACCTGCAGATAGGGAAAAAAACACATTACATGAAGTGACAAACAAGACAGACCAGTCACTATCCAATTTAAGAGACGCAATCATTAAGGATACATTCTACTCTCAAGGACAACCAGATAGCTACAGACGAAGAGTACAGGGATAATTCAGATGTGGAAGAAAGCCTGACAAGAGCACCACCTGCCATATCAGAATGGAAGAAGCAGCTCAGTTCTGAGTATGCACTAATCCTCAGAAATTATCTGAGGGTCCCTCACTATAAGAAAGACACTGAGGTGCTGGAGTGTGTCCAAAGCAGGGCAATAAAGCTGGTGAAGGGTTTAGAGCACAAGAATTACGAGGAGAAGTTTAGGGAACTGTGGTCATTTAGTCCAGAGAAAAGGAGGCTCAAGGGAGACCTTGTTGCTGTCTACAAGTACCTGAAAGGAGGCTGTAACGAGGTGGGTGTCCGTCTCTTGTCACAACTAACAAGTGATTGGAAAGGAAATGGCCTCAAGTTGCACCAGGAAAGGTTTAGAGGGGATATTAGGAAAAATTTCTTCACTGAAAGGGTTATCAAGTATTGGAACAGGCCATCCAGGGAAGTGGTTGAGTCACCATCCCTGGAGGTATTTAAAAGACATGTAGATGTGGTGCTGAGGAACACGGTTTAGTGGTGGACTTGGCAGTGTTAGATTAACAGTTGGGCTCGATGATCTTAAAGGTCTTTTCCAACCTAAATAGTTCTGTGATTCTGTGATATAAACCTTCGAGCAGACAACATGAAGATGAAAAAAGACTGTTTTGCTAACATTAAGTCATGCTGCCATGGCAAAGGTACACAGAACCTAAGGGATACCTTGCTGAAGTTGGTGAAGAATGCCTCGCATAGCTGAAGTATTTCACAGAAATGCTGCTGAAGAAACCATTCCTAAGAAATTCAGAGATACAAGAGAAGCAGGAACTGTGGAAATTTCCACTCACACTTATAAAGTGTTCCTCGGTTCCCACTGCTGTTCCGGTAATGGGTGTCTCTGCCAATCTTTCTAAGTGACAATATCTTACATAAGAACCTTCTACATTAAAACCTCAGGACTTTTGCTTCCTGAAAATAATCTGTCCTCATAATTCCTGTGCAGAAGCAATAACTACTGTAAACATTTACAGTTACCTGGACGTTGCTTGAGCATTTGCTGACACAGAGCCAAGATACAGATGAAACCACAGAAGTTTCTGGTATTACTGAGGCTGGAACCAGGCTCTTCAGTAAACGAGTATTCACTTTATCAGCTGGAAAAACAATTTAAACAAGATGGTGCTCATGTACCAGGTTCTTTGATATGGTTTTGCTGCCTAAGTCAAAATTACCTCTGGACAAGATTACTCAGAGCTTCATTGCTTAAAGTAACAGTGCACAAGAATCTAGTAGGGACTTAGCTATAAGTCAAAAATTATGAGAAATATTTCTTTTCAGCTTAAAGAACATGGAATATCAAGTATTTTAGAACTGAAATAGCCTTTAGACTCTTGGCAAGATAACAAAAAGTAACACAAATTTCTGGTAATATTAAATGACCAATTCCTTCAGCAAAAGAATATATGACAGTCAGACAAACATAAGCAGGCTGGTGTTCTGGAGACAAGCTAGTAATTTTAAATGAAGAAAAGCATTAAACTACTTGCATAATGGGGAAAGAATCCATGTACTCCTTTGGGTTGGAGGGAGGGGAAAGTTTAGGGTTTTTTCCATTTAATATTTAATTATTTAGAAGTATAAATGGTGACCACCATTTTTAAGAAAGCAGCATAAGGGGTGCACTGACACTGCTGAATTGATTGTTAGGATGACATTTTAATTTTAGCAAGTTTCATTAATACAGCTATGTCAGTTTGTTCATTTTGAGCTTCGAGGAAAAAAAACCTACACAAACAGTTACAAGAAAAGACACAATGGTTGCTAAGGACACACTAAGTTGTTAAGATTTTCAAAGACCTGCAATTACAAACAAAGGAAATAAGCTTTTCAAAACATATTTGTAACAAGCCATAATATTTGTCTGGGTATCACTCCCTTGTGACAAGAACTGAGGCTATTTTTAGCACAAACTCTGAAATTACACTGAAGCATGCCAGAAAGATTAAGTTTACACTAAAGTATTAACAATACAGTCACCATAAACACATTATCTCAAGCAGGTTTGATCAGAGGGGAAAGAGACATTCATGGAGGACACACTAGCAGTATGTAAACGTTTTACCAAGTTTGCCACTGAGTGCCACGTTTAGCAATACATTAAATCCTTCAGGGGGTAACCCTCTTTGCAGGCCAATGCTTTCCACAGTAGTCAAGTGTTTCTGCAGAACACTGTTCTTTTTCAGTGAAACACAGTCTTGAACTAGGAAAAAAAAAAGACAACAAACACAAGGATGAAACAACTTCTGAACTGAAAATTAACAATTTTAAACTTCTCTGAACTGTCCCTACATATACTCCTTTTTGTTGGGTTCTTTACATAGTAACAGATGGGGAAAACCTTTTAAGACATCAAAGAAATACTACAAAGCCCAGGAGTTGGGGAGGGAAAACAGCAGGTAAAATTATATTTTAAAAAAACTGTTATTATTCTTACTGAGAAATTGGTTATCTTTTCAATCTTAAGTAGCTAACCTTAAAACTACTCTTACCTTTCTCAAAGTAGCTCAAAGCTTGCTCAAGGGAGTATTGATTGTTGTCATCTTTCTGATAGTTAGGAGATTGATGATTCTGGAGACTTTTTTCAGGGTCAGTTGTCCCTCTTTTTCGCCACGCAGAGAGATCAGTTTGATTTTTATGGTGAACTTTCAGAGGCTGCTTTGGGGTCTTAGAACTCTGTCTTCGCTGCATCTTTTCAGACTCACAGCTGAGACTGGAGATTTTTACTCATTTGCAATGAGAGTTCCAATCCTTTATTACAAAGAGGCAAGAAAATAGGTCAACCTTCAACAGCTGAAGAACATTAGAGAGCCAGTTGCCTGCAAGAAAATAAAAAACTTTTCCTGACAAACAGATTTTAGAAGGATCCTGCATAATGTAACAAGAGTAACTTCAGAGGAAATAATGTAGAGTTTCCTGCCCCCGAAAAGGTTAGACCAGACTCAGAAGATGCACAGACAACTGTGTATCAAAAACTCCATTATTTCTTTCATTATAAAAGGGAAGAAAAAATTAACAAGTAAACATTAACAAAAACTCCTTTCAATTTAAAAATTATCTGATATGTTTTAGATCAAAATACTATGTAAAAATTTAACATAAGCAGAAAGTCAGCAAAACAGTAACCCAGAATGATTTTCAATTCATACTCCCTCTTCAGCTCTCACTTCCTTAAGATGTTCAAATCATCCCCTATTTTCCTATAGGGTTGTTTGTCACTAACTTCGCTATGCAGCATACCAAGAACAAATCTCTGTCTAGCTATGTCAAGACCTCCTCTGAAGCACGAAGAGGGCATTCACATTTACAAATGACATCTACTGACTTCACGTGAAATGTAGCCCCTCAGTGTTAAAGGGCAACACCAAGCACAACACCAAGCACATCAGTACTCCCACAAAGATGCTTTGCATTATGGTGACTAACAATAACTGAGATGCTTCAAAACAGTGAAAATTCCTGATAGCAACTATACTGTGGTTAGATCAACACAAGCTGGACTGATATGTAAGAGCTGCAGAAAACCCCAAATGCTCTGGATCTTGCTTGTTGCGTCTTGAATCACCTGGGCACCCTGGAAGTGATTCAGGCAGGTTAAGCTAGCAGTCCTTGGTTACCACACTCTGCAGTACAACGACAGCTTTCTCACAGACTCCTTTGCACCTGCTACTTTTTGTTTTGGTTTGTTTGTTTCTCTTACAGAAGTTCTACCAGAAAGGCTTGGTGCGGAAGAGAGAGCCACCAGACGTTAAAGCAGAACTAACAGAAAGGCTGGAACGCCAGTTCTGACTAGCAGCAAGCCCCAATTGCACAGCTCTTCAGCACTAGACACTTCCACACGGATATTTGGCACGAACATCCCTTCCCCTCCTCCCCAGCCGACGCACGCACACCGCTCTCCCTCGAGTTCCCCAGAGTGGCTCCCTCCGGACGCTCCCG